ACTGGGACTAGAACCCGGAGTGCCAGCGCCGCAGGCGGAGGATTAACCAAGTGAGCTGTGGCGGCGGCCATATTTTGAATTTCATACAGCTCTTTCCCAATCTCTGGTGGTTTCTTTCCATAGCACCTTATTCATATTTTATGGGTGCAATATTTCCTACCTCTTTAAAGAATAGCTTTAGCTTTGGTGCAAACTTAGAGCCAGATCAGATTGGCAATATGAAGAATAGGAGCTATATGAAGAAGTCTTAAGGAAAAAATAAAAATGAGAGATCCTTGGCATTTGTTGGCTCATTTGATGGAGCACTGAGAAAAATTAGCCACAGTATGATAGAAAATTAGGTAGACAAAAGACATAATCCAAGTTTGTTATTTGGATCAAACACTAATCATGTTTGCCTACACACAGTAATGTGCTATGGTGCCCCCGAAGGGAAAGGTCCATTGTACTCGGAGGTTTGGTCCCCAAGGTGGCAGCATTAAGTGCTACGGACCTTTTAAGAGGTAAGGTCTAGTTAGAGGTTGTTGAGTCAATTGGGGTGGGCCCTGAAAAGGGACTGTGGGACCCAGCTCTCTGCTTCCTGGCTTGAGATGTTACCACATGCCCTGACATGCACTGCTGTCACTGTCATTTACCTTGGTCCTCACCAGAACTGAGCCAATGCAGGCACCATGCCCTTGAATATCTAGAACTGTTGGGCTAAATAAGCCTTCTCTTCGTAAGTAGCCTGTGTCCTGTATTTCATTACAGTGAGGCAAAGTTGATATATAAATATAATATAAAATCTATATATATTATATATGTATATATAATATATAGATTATATTGTATATATAATATAATTAACAAAATTCAATTGGAAAGATGAAAGAAGTGGAAATAGACTAGAAGAAGTGTAAAGATTAAATCCTCACCTTGTTATCAATTATCAATTTATCAAAAAAGTTAGTAAATAGGACAGGCATTTAGCTTAGTGATTGGCACCTGCATCTCCTATGGGAGTACCTATGTTTGATGCCTGGCTCCTAACTCCAACTTCCTGCTGCAGATAGTGGTGATGGTTCAAGTGATTGGGTCCCTGTCACCCACATGGGAGACTTAGATTGAGTTCCCAGGTCCTGGCTTCAGCTCAGCTCAGTTCCAGCCATTAATGGGCATTTGAGGAGTCATCCTGTGGGTGAGAGCTCCCTCTATCTCTCTGCCTCTCAAATAATTTTTTTAAAGTCAACAAATAGGAGCAGACGTTTAGTGCAGTAAAGATGCCATGCAGGATGCCCACATCCCCTATCAGAGTGTGTAGGTGTGAGTTCCAGCTTCCCTTCTGATCCAGCTTCTTGCTAATGCACACCCTTGGAGGCAGCAGGTGATGGCTCAAGTACCTGGGTCCCTGCCACCTACATGGGAGACCCAGACAGAGTTCTCAGATCCCAGCCTTTGTCTGGCCTGCCCAGCCCCAGCTGTTGCGGGCATTTGAGATGTGACCCAGTAAATGGTAGTACTTGTGTATGCCTGCTCTCTCCACCCCCCCACCTCTCTCTCCCTCTCCCTCACTCACCTGCCTCTCTATCAAATAATAATTTTTTAAGCTGTAAGTTTATTTTGATGCAAAAAATTATGAAATCCATGTATAGGTTTTTCATTATACACATTTTTTCATGAACTTTCTGAAGACTCCTAGTACAGTGCAGTCATATCACCCATGTTCAACTTGCACTCTTAGATGCTGTCTTGAGAACCTAACTTCCAGTCTTTTGATCTCACAACATGAAATTAATCTATATTGAGATTATATAAAATCTCAAATAAAATAGAAAGAAATAAACTCTGAATAAGCAGGGTCACCTGAAAACTTCACATCTATCTCCAGGATTAGCCAATTATTTCAATGACAAAATGGTTTCAACGCCTAAATATGTAAATATAGCCTTTCCTTTTAGATTTTTTTTCTTTGTTTCTTTTTTTTTTTTTTTTTTGACAGGCAGAGTGGACAGTGAGAGAGAGACAGAGAGAAAGGTCTTCCTTTGCCATTGGTTCACCCTCCAATGGCCGCGGCCGGCGCACTGGGGCTGGCGCATGGCGCTGATCCGAAGCCAGGAGCCAAGTGCTTCTCCTGGTCTCCCATGGGGTGCAGGGCCCAAGCACTTGGGCCATCCTCCACTGCACTCCCTGGCCACAGCAGAGAGCTGGCCTGGAAGAGGGGCAACCGTGACAGAATTCGGCACCCTGACCGGGACTAGAACCCGGTGTGCCAACACTGCAAGGTGGAGGATTAGCCTAGTGAGCCGCAGCGCCGGCCAAATTTAGTGTTTTCAAAGTTCCATCATCATAAACACTGCAACAAACATTCCAGTACTCAGTCCTATGTATATATCCATTATTGATTTTCTCAGAATAATTCCTAGAAGTGGAATTGCTGGATCAAAATGTGTCTAAAGATTCAAGGATTTTAATAGAGATGGGCAAAATGCCCTCCAAACCACAAATCAACTATTAATAGGAAATCAAATACAAGGTATTTAAGGAAACAACAGGGTACTTCATTGATTCCATCTGTGAGCCCTCAGCTACGCAAATAAATCTTGACAAAATTTTGCACACGTAAGTAAAAAAAAAAGAGTGTTACACCTTGATACCACATCAACAGCTCTTCTAGGAATGCTGCAAGGAAAATATTTGGACTTTGGAGAGGAGGGAAAATAACCTGTTGGCAATTAAACATCACTACAAGATGACAGAATGACTCAGGCTCTCAAAGATTTCTAATTCAAAACCATTTTTAAAAAATCATAGCATTTAATCTTGGTGGTTATAATACTCAAAATTACAAAGCATTTTATCATCAGATCCTTCTCTTGAAGTAGAAAACACCATAATAGCCTCTGATGGTGCTGAAATTTCAATGGGGGGAAAATTAAAATTTCAACAGACCCTATAAACTCTTCTACCTACCCATCACCAAAACTATATACTCAACAACATGAACCCTATTCCAAATCTGGAACCCAGAAATGCACTTGTGAGTGAAAATAAGCCTAAGCAAATTGGAAAAAATAAATCCTTCAAAATTGATGAATGAACAATACTAGGTATGGTTTTAAATTTGTTCTGTATTTTGCAAAATTTCTTTAATGAGTGGTGATATATGCCATAAGAGCTCAAAACTTAGTATTTAGGAAACAAAAGTGTCATTACTACATTCACATGATTATCCTGATACTGAAAATTACTTTTGTTGAGACACGCATACTGTACAATTCTTCAAATAATAGTAAACACAATGCACATTGAAAAAAAAGCAATCCCCAACAAATTCTTTAAACTATTCTACTGTCACAGACCAGTACTAAATCCATTTTCCTTGTCATTACAAAATGTCCCCAGATGCAAAAGGTAATGAAATACATTTTGCAGCTCTCTTTCCTAAAATACACTTTCTAAATAGGAAGACATTAAGAATCCTGACAACCAGGAACAACAGAACCATACCGATGTCCTTTAAGTTATGCATAAAAGATCTACAGAAAAGATAAATTAGGGGTACTTTTTGATTCTGCAAGAGTATTCATAGCAGCATTGGCAATTTTAAATAGTGCATTTAAAGTACTTATGCTTTTTCTAATCACTGAATTAAAATAGAGCAGCATTTGTATTTTCCAACCCAGAAAGAACAGTAATTACAGTATTCTACAATCTCCAATATGCACTCATTTAAAAAAAAAACCCATAATCTTCTGATCCTCACAAGGCAGCAAACCGAATTACAGCACCTTTTCTTAAACCAGCAATCCCTGTCTCTAGTTCTTACCGGATAAGAAATGGCCTCTCCTTTTTGACTCATCCTAAGCCAGGAGCCTGAGAAAGGGCAAAGCAGGTCCAATGTCACCACAACTTGGACCCAGCAACAATGCCAAGAATGACATAACACCAAAGCCTTCTGCATTTGCAGAATGTCCATCATTCTCCACTCCCAGCTCCTATCAACACAGACGCCACAAAGATTGGAGAGGAGCAATACAATACTGGTATTCAGTTGTGTTAAGAAAGAGCAATTAAGTTGCTCCAAGCCTGCTCAGTCCAGAGGACAGCAGGAAACCACAGCCAAAAGGGTGAAAAGAGGGAGCTGATGCTGCTACGAAGTGCCCCCACACGGGGACGTGAGCAGTGTCCCTTGTGACTTTGGGCACATCCAAATCGCTGCAACGAACAGCCGGCCCATCAGGACAGCCCTGAGCCCGCAGCCCAGCGAGGCTCCCAGGTGCGGGACTCCCCTTCGTTAAGTGGCACGAGGGCGGGGGCGCTATTTTCCCCTGGGCGAAAGCAGGTCTAGGCAAGTGGAGAAGCAAAAATACCCCCTCGGGACCGAGTCCAAACAGTACGCACAGCTCCTTGGCTTTCCGTGTCCTGGACTTTGAGAAATTTCTCTAGTGTAAAATCTATTACTATGAAATTGGAAAGCTCGAAACTGATTGAAGGAAAAAGAAAAAGTGTTGATGCTGCCTTCCAAAGACTGCCCTGACATCGAAAACTATTTGGGGACGAGTCAGGTCATAGTACGCAATCTGCAATGTAAGTTTTTAAAATAAGCTGGAGCTCGCCCGGGCCATTTCGCCCACAGAGCCGCGATCTTGGCGACTGCACGGCCCAGCCCTCGCAGACAGCCTATGACGCGAAGGGTCCTCGCCTCCCGGCGCTCGCCACCGGCCCCGGCCCGCGGCGCCGCGCGCACAGAGCCCACCGAGCCGGTCCAGACGCGCAGCGGCGGATGTCAGGCCGAGGCCAAGTGCGCCGGCCCGGCTCGGCGTTCGGCGGCTGTTGGCTGACCGACCCGCACATGGGCGTGCGCAACTTGCTAGGCGCTGAAGCCAGACTAGCTGGGAAGCGGCAGCCACCGGGGGCACCTGGCCCCGACCCCGCGACGGCCCGTCCTGCTGCCCACCCCTGCCAACTGCCGCTAAGCACCAGCGAGGGCGGGCAGCACCGGGGGCAAAGGAGGCGCTCACCGCTTCAGCGGGTCCGAAGCCGGCCGCGCGCCGGCGGTCGAGGCCACAGGGCTCGGCTCCGCGGCCCGGGCTGCGGCCCGGGGGGCACTTTCGGCAGGAACGTGGTCCCGGGACATCGCGGGCGGTGCTCGCAGCACCCACGCAGGCTCCCGGAGCGCCCCGCACACCGCCCCTCAGGCCCCGGGGGGCGGGGCTCTGCGCAGCGGGGCCCGCCCACCCCCGGGGCAGCCAATGGGCGCGGAGCGCGGGAAGCCGGGGCGGGGCGGCGCTGGTCCTGCAGCCCCCTGCTCCCCGCTACCCTGCGACGCCAGCTGTCCCGGAGCGGTCCGCAAGAGGGGAAGTGCTCGTCAAAGAAAGGATCTGCGACCGCCTAAGACGTTCGGGACAAACTTCGGATTGTGCAGGGCTTTCCGTTTTTATTATGGTCCGCTGTCTACGGAACACCTGTGACGACCAGCCACAGTGCTTGGGGACCCGCGGAGTCGGCGAGGAGGAGGAACGGAAAACCGGTAACCGTGGCGCTACGTTCTCGTCTGGTGGGGCGGGCTTGTGGCACAGCAGATGAAGCTGAAGCTCTGGACGCTGGCATCCCAAATTGCAGAGCCGGGGGAGTTCCGGCAGCTCTGCTTCCGAACCAGCTCCTTGCTAATGCACCTGGGAGGTAGCAGGTGATGGCCAAGTGTTTGGGCCCCTGCCACCCACGTGGGAGATCCCAATGGAGTAACTGGGTCCTGGCTTGTGCCTGGCCTGGCCCTGGCTGTTGCAGGCAATTGGGCAGTAAACCACAGAAGGGAAGATCTCTGTCTCTGTATGTGTGTCCCTCAGCGTGTCACCCTGCTAAATGAATGAATAAATCTGTTTTTTTTAAAATTGAAAAGGGCTGGGGTAGGGATGGGGCCGAGGCTTGTTACTCTGGGAGTCCTGTGGCTGTCATTTGTGTGAAAAATCCTCATGTCATTTTTTTCTTTTCTTGTAGACAACTAAGAAATATGTGTAACATGGTCAAAAATGCGTTCAATGAAAAAGCTCCCATCCTCCACTAATCCTCTCCACACCCCCCCCAAGAACTCTAGTTTTCTTTCTTTGCAGGCTACTACTGTTAACCAATTTCTTGCGTATACTTTCAAAGATATTCTATGCATTAAAAACAAAGCCAAAACAACAAATATATGTATGTATATATATGAACTTTTTATTTTTTTAATTAATTAATTTATTTGTAAGACTGAGTTACAGAGAGGCAGACGCACAGAGAGAGAGAGAGAGAGAGTGAGCGAGAGAGAGGTCTTCCATCTGCTGATTCACTCCCCAGATGGCTGCAATGGTGGGAACTGTGCCGATCAGAAGCCAGGAGCTTCTTTATGATATCTCACGTGGGTGCAGGTGCCCAAGCACTTGGACCATCTTCTGCTTTCCTGGGAAATAGCAGAGCTGGATGGGAAGTGGAGCAGCCAGGATTCAAACAGGTACCCATAGGGGATGCCACGCTGCAGGTGGCAGCTTTACCCACTACACTATAGCACTGGCCCCAGTATATGAACTTTTTAAAAGTTCATGGAAAAAGTAGAATTAAGATATGTTGAATTTTCACTAACCTTTTGAAGTTGCTTTGTGTACACACACCAGCTCTTTGGCTAATGACACACACATGCACAAGTGATCCACTACACACTTTTGCTACTTTGCTTTTTCTTCTGTTACCATTGTATGTCAGACAGCTTTCATTCTTTATTATGATTTCATAGTATTCCATCAAATTGTCCATTTAAGTTGTTTTTATTCTTTTGCTATTACAATGCTACAGTCAGTATTCTTATTTATAGCACTTGGCGTGTAAGCAAATGTATGTCTGTGCTTAAAAACTGAGTGTTGAATGCTGAATCATAAGTAGGAATTTAAAAAATCTGGTAAATGTTGCCAAGTTGCTCTCCAGTTTCATTTATACTTCCCTAGTAATACATCAACTTATCTATTTTAGTGCATCTCAATAAACAGAATATTATCAGACTTAATTTTTAAATTTCCCTTTCTGTAAACAGCTTATAATATTTTGTCCAGTTTTCTACTCATGATTTTTTTTAATTGTAGAATATCTGTTTGTTCTGGCTCTCAAAAACAAGATGATGGAGGGAATATACTTGTTTTGAAAGTGTCACAGACTGTGCTGCTGCCGTGGCTCTAAAGCCTACCACCTTCAGAAATCAACCTGTGGCAGTTTTTGTTACCCTACTGAGCACACAAGGATGTATAATTGGAGTGCCAAGGCTAAAAGACAAAATACCAGTGGGACTGATCCAGTGAGGCACATTAAAATTGTGTACTGCAGAGTCAGGGATGGATTCCATCTAGGAACAACACCTAAACCCAACATTCAGTTAAAAAACTTGAGAATTTCAGTGACTAAACAGGCAGCAAGTGTTCTGCTTTTAAAATACAGAAACATTGTAGAATACATACATATATCGTACAATGAAATTGGTACGTTGTTAATAAGGTAATTAGCTTTGTAAAAAGATTTATTTATTCGAAAGCATTACACAGAGAGAGAGAGAGAGAGAGAGGAGAAACAAAGAGATCTTTCATCCACTGGTTCACTCCTCAAATGGCTGCAACAGCCTCAAAGCCAGGAGCTAGGAGCTTCTTCTGGGCCTCCCATGTGGGTGCAGGGGCCTGAGGACTTAGACCATCTTCTTCTGCTTTCCCAGGCCATTAGCAGGGGGCTGTATAAGAAGCAGAGCAACTGGGACTCAAACTGGCATCCATATGGGATGCCAGCACTGCAGACGCTGTTTAACCCACTGCACCACAGTGCCATCCTCAGAGCACTTATCTTTCATCCACTTTATTTGGGTTTTGTTTACTGTATTTTTTCCATTAATTCTTTGTTATTTTCATATAGATATATTAATTGATTTGTAAATGTTTCTACTTTAAAATTTTTATTTATCACTCCCCAAATGCCTGCAAAGGCTGATTCTAGACCCAAGCTGCCACCCAATCCAGGTGTCTTGTATGGGTGGCAGGAACCCAATTATTTAAGCCATCACTGTTACTTCTCAGGATCAGCATTTGCTGGAACTGGAATCAGCAGCTGGAGCCAGATAGCAAACCCAGATACTTTAATACGGCTGTCTTAACTGGCATCTTAACCGCAAGGCCAAATGCCTGCCCCTCAAGGTTCTTTTTGTTGTTATTGTTGCTGTTCTTAATCTTCCGTAGAAAGACTGTCACTAATTTAGAATTAGAATGAAATTAGAACAGAATTTAGAAAAATTCTCCCAAAGTTGCTTCTGGTACATCTGATAACTATACAGTTAATACATTATGCAGATAACCTACAATAGGAATAATACATGCCATGATGAAGAAATAAATCTGGGTAAAGGATATGAACAGAGAGTTCTCCGAAGAAGATAAAAATGCCAATGAGCACATGAGAAGATGCTCAACATTAGTAGCCATCAAGGAAATGAAAATCAAGACCATAGTGAGATACCACTTAACATCCCTATGATGGCAATAATGGAAGAATCAGATAATAGCAAGTGTTGACAAGTGTTTGGACTGAATTATAGTACTGTAAAAATAATGTTAAATCTCTAACCTCCAATGTGAGTGTATTTGAAAACAGGTCTTTGAAAGATTAAGATTAAATGAGGCCGGCGCTGTGGCTCACTAGGCTAATCCTCCGCCTTGCGGCACCGGCACTCCGGGTTCTAGTCCTGGTCGGGGCGCCAGATTCTGTCCCGGTTGCCCCTCTTCCAGGCCAGCTCTCTGCTGTGGCCCGGGAGTGCAGTGGAGGATGGCCCAAGTCCTTGGGCCCTTCACCTGCATGGGAGACCAGGAGGAAGCACCTGGCTCCTGGCTTCGGATCAGCACAGTGTGCCGGTCGCAGCAGGCCAGCCACAGCGGCCATGGGCGGGTGAACCAATGGCAAAGGAAGACCTTTCTCTCTGTCTCTCTCTCTCACTGTCCGCTGTGCCTGTCAAAACAAACAAACAAAAACCAAACAAAAGATTAAATGAGGATGTAAAGTAGAGCCCTAATCTGATATGACCAGTTTCTTAAGGAGGCAGAGATACCAGGGATGTGTATGCACTGAACAAAGGCCTTAAGAAGGTGGCCATCTGTATGCCAAGGAGAGAGATCTTTGAAGAAGCCAGTCTTCCTGACACCTTGATCCAGGACTTCTAGTTTCCAGAACTGTTAGAAAATAAATTTCTGATGTTTAAGCCACCGAGTCTGTGGTGTTTTGTTTTGACAGCCCTAACAAACTGATTCAGTAGGGATATGGAGAAATTGGAACACTCATACACTGCTGGTTGGGATGCAAAATGGTGCAGCCTGTTTGGAAAACAGTTTAGTAGTTACTCTAATAAATCAAGTTACCATAAGACCCAACAACAGCACTCTTGTATATATATACAAGAGAAGTAGAACACATGTCTACAAGAACATTTCTTCATGAATTTTCATAGCAGCATTGTTCAGAATGGACAAAACATGGAGACAACCCACATGCCCATCAACTGATAAAAGAATAAAGCAATGGAGGCTGGCACCATGGCGCAGTAGGTTAACTCTGCCTGCGGCGCCAGCATCCCATGTGGGCACTGGTTCTAGCCCTGGCTGCACTTCTTCCGATGCAGCTCTCTGCTGTGGCCTGGGAAAGCAGTCCCCTGCACCCACTTAGGAGTCCAGGAAGAAGCACCTGGCTTTGGATCGGCGCAGCTCCGGCCGTTGTGGCCATTTGGGGAATGAACCAGCGGAGAAAGGCTTTTCTCTCTGTCTCTCCCTCTCACTGTCTGTAACTCTGCCTCTCAAATAAATAAATAAATAAATAAAGCAAGCAAGCAAGCAATGGATATATCCATATAATGGAATACTATTCAGCAATAAAAAGGAATGAGTTTATTTATATGTGCTACAATATGGATGAACCTTGGAAATACTACGTTATGTGAAAGAAGTCAGTCAGTAAAACCACCATTATTTCAGTAAATGAAATAATGTTGTATTATTTCATTTATATGAAATATCCAAAATGGGCAAATCCACAGAAACAAAGTAGATGAGTGGTTGCTCAGAGCTGGGGGTGGGATGAAGGAGCTAGGGAAAGGATAAAGGCTGGAGGAGA